GGTTTCTTCCTCTCTGATGACTCTAGCTTTTGTGATGTTGACATAAAAACCGTCCAGGCCATAGTTAATCAAACTTTTAAGGCGAAGAATGAAGAGGGTGGAGACCTATTTGCTGAGTCACATAGGTCTTTATTGTCATCAGGGATTGACAGCAGAACCTAGTCTGGCTAATCCATGGAACTGCACAGGGCAGTTTCCTGTGCTTTGCCATGTGGAATTCTGATTACTGTGTCTGAATAAATTCCGTCTAGTCTTCCAGTTCTATTCACAGCCCAATTCCCTTGGTGTGCAAATTCCCAGTGGGTGGATGCTGGAAGCATCAGTGTGCCTCCATTGTGGATGGGCACTGGGAACCTCACCCTCCCTCTGCCTTCTGTTTGTTCCCATAACCTGGTTGGTGTTTGTTGAAACTGTGAGTGATGTCTGGTGGGGATCTCCAAGCTTTCAGTTTCTACAAAGCTGTTATCTAAAACAGGGTTTGCCAAGCATCTAAAGCATTTTTGGACACAGTGAGTGAGTTGGTGAGGGAACTTTTCAAAGGCTGGCCTTGTGTCAACTGAATAACTTTGAATTTTGTCTGGGACTATCAACTCTGTTTCATTCAGGATTTTCAATGGAGAATGTAAATAGGCAGAGTCTGAGGATAATTCTCACATCTCTGAATGCAACCTGCCAAACATGGACTAAGCTCTGTAAAGCATCCCTCAAAACTCTCCACCCACCCCACAGCTTTGGCTCCTACATGGATCCTACATGAGCTTACTAGCCCTCCTTACTAGAGATTAAGCCCATTAAAAAATAAGCAGATGAGATGAAAAGATATTTTAAGAGTATCCAGTTTTTTTGAACATGCCATCAATATAAAAAGGTGCTATGAAGTCATCTTATACTCCTTATTTGGCAACCACTATATATCCTGTACAGCACATCCCAGCGAGGATCAGCCATATCTCAGGACTCAGTTGTATCTCCTGGTTGGTCACTGTCTCTTTGGATGATTCAGTTTTGGGCACTATTTTTGCCCTTGTTGTCAACAGTTAACTGACAGCTAATATACTCAAAAAAGAAAAAGGAAGAAAGGGATGAAGAAAAGAAGAAAGGAAGGAAGGAAGTAGCGAAGGGAGGAAGGAAAATAAAAAAATAGATAAGAGTAAACAGGTTGAGTAGATCACAGGTCCTGCTACATGTTCCAGACTTGCCCCAGGCTTGTTGGTCATTTCCATGGATAATTTTGGAGGTGCCATGGCTGGGAATGCCTGTTCTCTCTGCTTGGTTTCACAAAGTATGAATGGGAATCACTAGACAGACCTCAAGGAGGAAAGAGGGAACTTGATGCAAAGATGTCTCTGTAAAACACTCGCCACGGAGCACAGCAAGCCTTAGCGCAGCCAGTGTTGCCTCTGTGACTGTCACCATAAATGATGAATTCAGTAATTCAGAGGACAAGAATTCAAGAGAGGATTGGCATGAAAATAGGTTAAGAGTCAAAGTTCAGGGTGTGATAGTGTTAATGCCAGCTCTACTGGGCTGAGGCAAGAGGATGTGTATGAGTTCAAGGCTATCCTTAGACACATAGTGAGTTCTAGGTGGGTTTAATTACAGAATAAGGACTCTGCCTCTGGCAAAACAAAACAATAAGGGTTCAAGTAGCTTTGCCCAGTCAGGACTCAATAAGGCAAAGGAAAAAATGGTGGAAATCAATATGGAGAATGTCAATGATAAGTATACTCATCCTTTGTAGGTTTTTAACACTTTGGGTGTAGACTATTGTTCCTTTGTATGACTTCCCAGGAAAGGGGTTAAACTAGAACTGCATTAAAGCTCACTGCTGTTCAGAAGTGTGAAGCATCAAACCAAGCAACATGGGCTTAAACTTTGAAAGGAGCTAGCTCACAGTGAGGTACAGGAGGAAGCCTGGAATGCTCAGCACTTGTTAAATATAGCTGGAATCTTTCTTACACCCACCTCCCCAAGCAAGTGACTGAGCTGTTGGTGTCTAGAGGAGAGTGAGGAAGCAAAGAGGTGACAAGCAGTGTCTTGCCAGACAGCTGTAGGGCTTGCCTAAAGACACTGGGAGGTGTGTGCTCTGGCTGCTCTGTGACAGAAGGGCCACTCTGGCAGCCTTAAAGCAGACGGCTCTAGTGCTTGGGCTGACTAGACTGATGAGAGTGAGTAAGCTGTGAGGCGGGAACCTCATGAATGGAATTAGTGTCCTCTGTGAAGGAGGCTCCAGGGAGTGCCCCTCCACCCTGTGAGGACACACCGAAGGCTGTCTATGTGACACTGTGTGTTGCATGTAGGCTCTCTGAATGCCTTGATCTTGGCATTCCCAGCCTCAGAACCAGGAGTGGTAAACTTGGTTGGTAATAAATAACTAAGCCTGAGGTATTTGGTTAGAGTAGCTCCAGCAGACTGAGACGAGCATATCAGATGAAAACAAAGACCGCATTTTCCAGCATTCTCCAAAGTTGCTTTAATACCCTTTTCTTTGATAAGCACAGACATTAAAAGCAGGTACTAGGAGAAGACTGAGGAGAAGGCTCAGTCGGGAAAATGCCTGTCACATAAGCATGAGCACCTATGTAAAGACCTGTGCTGGAAGGCACCCATAAACCCAGCACTGGGAAGACAGAGACAGAAAGACCCCTGGAGCTTGCTGGCCAGCCAGCCCAGCTGATTGGGCATGCTTCAGGTTCAGTGAAAGGCCTTGTCTCAGAAAAGGTGGAGATAAAAGTGCTTGATGGCAAGTCCAGGGACCTTAGTTTGACCCCTGGCATCCGCACAGTGGCTTTCCTGAAAGTTGCCCTCTGACCCCAACATGTGCACATACACAAAAATAAAATAAAAAACAGTGGAAGATACCTGACATTGATTTCCTGGTTTCTGTTACACAACCCCACACCCAATACACCACACACACACACACACACACACACACACACACACACACACACACGAGTCCTGATGGCATAGTTAAGCAGTGTAACACCTTTCCAGCAGGTACAGTGTTTAATTCCTGTCATGGCTAAACAAATACATAAATAAGTGGAGCAAGCAAGCATTGGCACTTCCCACAGGTATCAAAATATTTGGTTGACTGTTGCACAATTGTGTCTGGTTTATTCATATAGTCCTTATCAGTATTGAATTAATTGTGTAGTGATGTCTATCCATCTTGGGGTATTATTACCTGATGGGGATTTTAATATGTTCACTACCTTGAGTACATACCAGAAGGTAGAGCCCACCTTTAAACCCCATGGCTGCCACTGACCAGGTTGTCCTGACACAAAGGGTCCTAGGCTGTTTCCTAGCCGGCTTCATTCTCTTTCCTTCAGCATCCTCCTGCCTCAGAAGGATGTCTTTAAGATGATTTCAGTACCTCAGAGGCTTCAAAATGCTTCTGTTGCTCTGTCAATTTACTTAACCGTTCTGCTAGGTCTTCCAGAGAGGCAGTAAGGTGGCACATGAAAAAGAATTCAGGCCAGATTGTGAAAGGCAGGTTTAATGTTTTCTGCCCCTCCCCTTCCCGCTGCCTCCCACACAGGTCATCTCAGACTCTCCATTGCTGAGCAGGTAGATGGTGAAGGGCTGCCTAGGGTTTGGAAAGGTGGCTGGGTAATTACTGAAGGCGGGACAGTGAATGCATGGGAACTTGTAAGCAGGTGGGTAGGTGGTCTCCGGGGCCCCCAACATCTCACTGCCTAACCTACAGCTTCTCGCTGTCTGGCTGGGTCTAACATCAACTTCCCAGACTGATTTTGGGGTGAGCTCCATGTACAGCTGCAGAAAGCCCCCAGAGCGAGAGGGTGCCCCTACTGAATTAACTCAGAATCATTCGGTCCCTTCATAACTGAACTCAGTGGTCATGGGCCTTAGCGTTCTCAATCCTGTCTCTCCAGGTTCCTCTGCTATTGAACTGAGCTCTGATTTCCTCATCTTGAATCTGAGTTGGTGGTTATCTTTTGCTAAGGTTGAGTCTTTCTGGAAAGGCAAAGCCTGTCCCTGATTCATTTCTCTTTTCTTTAAGGTGTGTAGTTTTACTTATTTTTGCTGAAGTTGGCAAAGAGTTCCTAAGATTCAATATCTCTCTCTAACTCACCGACACTTCACTTTTAATTTTTTCCACTTGGTTATTTTAGTGTGTATGTATGCTTGTGTACACTTGTGGCCTTGGTGTGTTTAAATCGGATCACAACAGTAGTCGGGTCTCTCCTTCCACCAGGTGGAGCAGGGTCGTTAACTCCTTGCCATTTCTATTTAGAATTCTTGGCTGTGCTGTGAGACAAGTTGGTTCATTTCTTTAAAAGAGTGAACAAAGCGAGCTAGTGCTCTTCTTGACTACTGAAGTTCGGAAAACCTTGACGTCCACAGGGACGGCAAGCAAGTCCCTGTGAATGAGCACTGTGTGCAGTTCTGGCTGTGGCCAGCACTCCTGGTCGTCATGCCCACACTGGGGCACAGGCAGTCCTGAGATTCGGTGCTGGAACTGGGCCCCCTTGGTTGATAGATGCCAGTGAGGCCAGACTCATCCAGCCAGGAGCATGGACAGGGAGTGGAGCAGAAGCCTGCCTGGAATGGAGACGGGAATACCCCTAGAATGCAGAATAGGTGTTGGGGGCAGGCTGGTCGGGTTGGCCTGGGGCTGGAAGTGGGGCTCAAGAAGAGGGGAGGTGGCTAGCTGGAGGTGGGGTGCACAGGGCTGGAGTAGGACTGGAAGGTGAAATATAGGGAGGTGAAGACCTGCTGGAGGTGTGGTGAAGAAGTGAGGGGACTGACTGAATGAGGGGATTCACAGAGCTGAGACTTAAGGTGACCCGTGGGGGCGGGGGAGGCTGGTCCTGGACGCAGATGGGTGGGGATGAAGCTGGAGGACAACCGGCCTCCAGGGCGCCACCTCAGAGCTGCAGGGAGCCGAGGAGTGGGGCGGGCCCCAGGAGGGGCGGAGACCAATGGGTCGGGCCGCGGGCGGGACTCGGGCGGGCGGGAAGTGGGTGGGGACCCGCGGGCTCCCGGGACCTCGGCTGAGCTGCGCGCGCTTGTGTCGGCGCCGGGGCGAAATGAGCGGGACAGGGTCGGCGGGCACGGCCCGGGGGCTGCGGGTAGACGGGCTGCCACCGCTACCCAAAAGCCTGAGCGGGCTGCTGCACTCGGCGGCGGGTGGCGGCGCGGCGGGCGGCTGGCGGCACCTGGAGCGGCTGTACGCGCAGAAATCGCGCATCCAGGACGACCTGAGCCGAGGGGGCGCGGGCGGCGGCGGGGCGCGGGCTGCGGGGACGCGGACCAAGCCCCCCAATCTGGACGCCGCGCTGGCGCTGTTGCGCAAGGAGATGGTAAGGACCAGGCGCCGTGGGTCCCGTCGGGGGACTGTCCCCTCTGGTCCCGGGGAGCCGGTGCTTCCCTCTTGGACTTCCCGCAGCTGCACATCCACGCGCAGGGCAAACCTTAGATTCTGGGGTTTTCCTGGGCCAGCCCAGGGCGCGGCGTGGCCTGCCTGCGTGGTCCCAGGAGGAACAGGCTTCCTGAGAGCCTGCGGGTCGGTGTGGACAACAGATGGATGGCCGGGCCCCTCCCAGGCCGCCCGTCAGGAATACTATTACCGGCTCGGAAGCCGTGCCCTGGCTGGCCTGGTGAAGCTCTTACGTCTGGTCTCAAACAATGGGTTTTAGTTTTTCTCTGTCCTGCGAAGTGCAGTAGGTGTTCCTGGACCAGGACGCACAATTCAGGGTGACGCCAGGGCAGGGATTTGGACCTCAGGGAGCCCTGTCCCAGCATGCTTCCTGTGGCAGGCCAGGTAGGGAGGGACAGAGACATCTACCCAAGACTCTGCCTTCTTTCCTTTCTCCTAGTCCAAGATCCACTGGGCCAGGTAAATATTAAAGAAATCTAAAGTAAGAAAACTTTTTTATTCTAAGAACACATTTGCCAAAGAAAGTTAGAGGAGTTGACTCCTTTAATCATCTAGTGCATCTAGTGATTTCTGCCTTCTTAAAGGAGCATAATCTGCCCTGCAAACTAAGACTTAATGGAATCCACTATGTAGTCTTTTTATGGTTTTCCGAGACAGGGGTTCTCTGTGTAGCTTTGGCTGTCCTGGAACTCCCTCTGCCTCTGCCTCCTGAGTCCTGGGGTTAAAGGGTGAGCCACCACTGCTGGCCACTATGCTGTCTTAACGCCTTTTCATCATGGAAGTGATGTCTAATTCTCTCTGAAAAGATTTCCTGTGTTTCTTTTCTTTCATCCCCTTTTCAGGAGGGTTTCTCTGTGTACCTTTGGAACACATCCTGGAACTCTGTAGACCAGGCTGGCCTCGAGCTCACAGAGATCTGCCTGCCTCGGCCTCCCAAGTACTGGTACTAAAGGTGTGCGCCACCACCGCCTAGGTAGTTTACCTAGTTTCTTACAGAGCCTTTTAAATTCCAAAGTACCCACTTTTCTTTATTGATAACCACTATCCTGAACCTAGTAGCATCTGGCAAGTTGCTTTTGATTAGATACACCCATACCTAGTGTGTTTACAACCCGAATTTGGACAAAACATGAACCTCTTGGTGAAATAAGAAGACTGCCCCCCCCCAGGTGTTTGAGGGTTTTTTCTTGCATAAGATGCAGAGTACAGGGTGACTCCTGGCTGTGAAACTCTGCTTTATAAACATGCTAGGGAAGCTTGGGAGCCCTGCTGCATTCCCCAAGGGATTTCCTAGGTCCCTCCTGGTGTGACTAAAGTACAAACCTTATAATTATGCCTTGGGCGGTAGCTCCCTGTAGCTCAGCTATAGGAAATGAGGGAAATGAGCGGCTGTCAGTCTGCCTGATAACAGTGTTAAAGGTAGGGTTTGGCTACAGGCCCCGACAGGCCTTTCCAGAAAACCATCACAAGGATATATTCAGTCTGTCTTCTAGGTCAAGAGGCTTACTGACCTGGGGGGGGAACAGTGAGGTTTCTGTGACAACTCATGTTTTGCTTAACAAGAATAGGTTTTCATTCCAGAGCCTTCTGCAGAATGTCTGTGTTGATCTATTTAATTTGAAGGTCTGAGGTCAAATCCGTGGTGGGGATATAATTCCATATCAGTACAGAATGTGACAAATGGCTGAGGGGGAAAAGCCCCGGATGAGCATAGAAAGAGGGAGTGACCCCCCCAGATTGATGGATTGATTGAGGGATTCCCTATGGGGTTGCAGAATCATCGGTGGGAAGGTCCCAAGTGACAGGAAGAGAACACCAAGATAGCAGAGTGGAGCAGTGAGCTTCCAGCTTGACTGACAGGAGTTTGAACCACAGGTGATTAGGAGGGTGGCCATGTGGCTACAGGAAGCTTGGGTTACAGACAGGTCATCTGCAGTAGTAGGAACTCTGGTGTGCAACAGGTACCAGAGGCTCCTAGAAAATGTCCTAGGCACACCTGGGAGTATTAGGTACAATGGAAGACAGTCTATTGGCAACAAAACACCAAAAGTCACAAGACTTGCTAATGGGTTCTCAGAGCTGATAAGGAAAAAGTGAATTGAAGATGACTCAAGGTTTTTGTTTGTTTGTTTACTAATAGGAAGTATTTTGAAACACAGCAACTGAAAACTACAGTCCTAAAACTGGAATTGTTGCTCATTGGTAGAGTACCAGCAGAGTGTGAATGAGGCCTGTATTAATTACTTTTGCCATTGCTCTGACAAAAGTAAAGTAAGGGAAGATTTATTGCGGCTCACTGTTCTAGGATACAGTCCCTGGTGAGGAAAGCATGCTGGCAGGGTCATGAGACTGGTGGCATTCTGTCTGAAGTCAGGATTCGAAGAGATTGACTACTGGTTCTCTCCTGATGGTCTCCTTTTTTCTTCAGCCTGAGATCCAAGGCCATGGGATGAGTCTTCCCAATTAGTTAATTAACCTCAATAAACCCAATCTAGATACTCCCTTAGGAATTCCCTTAGGAATTTATCTCGTAGATGGTGGTTCAAGATCCTGTTGACAGTCAGCATTAATCATTCCAAGGCCCTGTGTTCAGGTTCAACACAGCGAATTTCCCCATATCACAGTCTAGCACAGAGAGAGGTGATCACTGCTAATAGTTTCAGATATGTAAATATTCTGGTTGTATGAAAATATTCTGGATTATATATATATATATATATATATCCTGATGTGGTAGGGTGCACCTGTGCTCTCACCAGTAGGGAAGCTCAAGAAGGAGGATTCTAAGTGTGAGGGCAACGTTGGCTATCCAACAAGACCCTATCTTAAAAAACAAACAAAAGACAAGTGCTCTTTATACATTGTCTAAATCCTTGTGCTTTAGTTTTATCTCTGTTGCAGACAAGTGCTTTTTAAACATTATCTAAATCCTTGTGTTTTAGTTTTATCTATGTTGCTGGGATAAAATACCCTCAAAAAGCAATTTAAGGAAGAATTTATTCAGCTTACAATTCCAAGTTACAGTCTATCATTTTGGGATGTCAAAGCCATAAGAACTTGAAGCTCCAAGCAGAGAATAAATGTATGCATGCTGTGCATGCTTGCTAGTGTTCAGCCTCCCTCCCCGCTCTACTTATACTGTTCAGGATCCTCTGCCTAGGCTGGGTCATTAGTGTTAATTCCCACACTGATTAACATTCAGGACAATTCTCTACAGATACTCCATTAGGCCAATCTAATCTAGACAATGTTTGAGACTTTCTTCTCATGGGTACTAGGTTGTGTTACATTGATAATTAGAACTAACCATCACACTTTGTAAATTCTTCATGGGAGAGCACTCTATGAATTTTATATTATTTTTCCTCCTCTTCCTCTTTCTTTTTTGAGGCAGGGGGTCTCACTGTGTAGCCCTTGGCTGTCCTGGAACTCACAGAAATCCACCTGCCTCTGCCTTCTGAATGCTAGGATTAAAGACATTCACTACTATTCCCAGCTTATTTCCTTTAGAAAACCTTTTAGATTTATTTTTAGTATTTTTAATTAAATGCACAAATGAATGTATATATGTATGGGAGTATGTGCACATGAGTGCAAGGGCCGTTGGAGGCCAGAAAAGGAACTGGATTTAAGGTGGTAGTGAGCCATCTGACCCAGTGTTAGGAACCAAACTTAGGCCCTCTGTCAGAGCAGTGTGAGTTGTTGATCTCTGAGCCGTCTCTCCAGATCTTAATTATATTTTCAAAAATCAGCTGCTCAGAGTTTATCTCCCATGAGCTCTCAACCTTCTTGGGGTCTGCTGGGCTCCACAGCCCTGTTTGGTCATTGCACCGTATGATCTGTGCACACATGCACATGAAGCAAACATACCTGGGTCACAGTGCATTCTGCAAACATGTTTCTGTCAGTATGCATTGTTGGTCTTCAGTGAATGTGTAGTGTGGCTGTGCTGTGTCATTTTGGACCTTGTTAATGGGTCGAGAGGAAATTTCTTATGGTATTGTGGGTGTTAGGAGGAGGAGTGACAACCTGATGGGATGTTCATGACCTCCCATCAGTAGGGGAGGGTGCTAAACATTTCAGAGGCAGAGTTGGGGGCTGGAAGATAACTGGTTGGAGCTGAGGGCACAAATGTCACTTCAAAGGAGTGACACTAATGATAAGAGTTAGGGGAGCTGTCACACAGACTGGAGAACGCAGGAGCCCCTTGTGGGCAGAGGCTCAGTCCCATGACTGGTTGTGGCTTCAGTACACATGACTTCCTGTTCTAGTAACCCTACGTCTGTGAAGCTTGTCACTCCCAGTCTCTCTAGCCTCAGGGAAAGAGTCCACTTTGAAAGATCCAGAGGTCACACCAGTGCTGACATACTGTAAAAGCAATCATTTTTTTTAAAAAATCCTTTTATTTACTGAATTTTTGTGGTTGTTTTGTTTTTTGAGAGGGTATTACTGTATAGTCCTGACTGGCCTAGAAGTCTCCTTTTTTTGTGGTTTTAAATCTCATATTTATTTATTTGTTGTCTTTCCACTAGGTCTCTTGCACTGCAGGCTTGTCTTAAGCTCACTATAAAGCTGAGACTGACCTTGAGGTCCTTGTCCTAACTTTGCCTCCTGATTGCTGAAACCCTGGGTTTCTGCTTCTATACCTGCCTCATTTCACATTAGAAGTCTCTTTTAACGATACTTATTTATTTATATTATTTTTTAGATGGGATCTCAAATAGCCCAGGTTCACTTTGAACTATGCAGCTAAACTAAGGCTGACCTTGGATTTTTTTCTTTTTTCTTCTTTTTTTTTTTTTTTTTGTTTTTTGTTTTTTGTTTTTTGTTTTTCCTAACAGGCTTTCTCTATGTGACTTTGGAGCCTGCCCTGGAACTCACTTTACAGACCTGGCTGGTCTCAAACTCACAGAGATCCACCTG